GTTCCAGGATAGCCAGGACTGCACAGAGAAACCCTGTCTTGGGGGGAAATCTGTTCGAGCTCACGGTTGTGAGCAGGCTGTGGTAGTGCTCGCCTACCCATCCCTTCACTTGGGGGGACTAGGCAAGTGGAGCGCCACAAATTCCAGGCCAGCAAGGCCACATGGTGAGACTCTGTCTCAAATAAAAAAAAAAAAAATAAGAAGATTGTGAACTTAGATTCCAGAGGTCGTGCACTCCTGCCTGCTAGTGCTCTCGGCACTGAAATGGGGGCCCTGGTGTGACATGCCCTGGGTGAAGTGAGTTTGTCCCTAAGGGTTTCAACACTCCTCTAGGGTAGAAGAGAAAGCCTCCCTTGGCTGGATTGCCCCATGGTAAGGTCTCTAAACCTCGAGCAATTAATGGAGGTGTGGAGAGTGTGTCAGAATTTGTGCCTAGTGAGGTAACCATGCCTGTCACTTACAGTTTTCAGGTTCACTGTTTCCGTAGCTCCCAAGAGAATGTCCTGTTGCTCCTCATCTTCAGTCCCACCCAACCCCTTGCCCAGGTGGTTAGAATGTGAATGGCTGCCACAGGCTCAGATATTTATTTTAGGATTTATTTGTTTGTGTATTTTATGTGTATGGGCATTTTGTCTGAAATATGTCTGCACACCAGAAAAGGGCATCCGATTCCATTATAGACCGTTGTCATGGTACCATGTGGGTGCTGGAATCAGTCCTGGGCCCTCTGCACGAACATGTGTTAACTGCTGAGCCATCTCTTCAGCCCCTATATTTGAATGCGTGGTCCCCAGTGGGTGGAACTGTTTGGGATGGATTAGGAGGTGTGACCTTGCTGGAGGAGGTGTGTCATTGGGGGCCAACTCTGAAGAAAAGCCCAGGTCATTTCCAGTTAGCCAAATAGCTCTCTCTCTCTTTCTCTCTCTCTCTCATACACAGACACAGACACACAGACACACACACACACACACACATACACACACACACACACACACACACACACAAATTTTTAAAAAGATTTCAGTCCAGTCCTGCTATACTTGGGAGCTAAAGTCTAGAGGATCAGAAGTTCAAAGCCATCCTTTTCTATACAGAAAGTTCAAAATCAGACTGAACTACATGAGACCTGGTCTCAAAACAAAACAAAACCAAAAAAAAAAAAAGTTTTTTATTTCCTGTTCACTTCTTCTGTCATAGCTTACTCAGTCAGTGCAGAACCAGTTCCCTTCAGAACAAGGAGCTCAGCTGATCTGTAAAACTGATGTAAGGAACTGATGATTCGGTGGGTAAGGACACTTGCCACCAAGACTGACAACCAAAGTTGCCAAGAAGGTGGAAGAGAACTGACCACTGCAAGTTGTCCTCTGACCACTTAATGTGTGTCATGCGCTGGCGTGGGAGATCCTTCTGTACGTGTTGCTTTTATTGGCAAATGAATAAAGAAGCTGCTTTGGCCTGTGATAGGGCAGAACAGAGCTAGGCGGGAAAACTAAGCTGAATGCTGGGAGAAAGAAGCCAAAGTCCGTGAGACGCCATGTAGCTGCTGCCACCAAAGGAGACAGACACCTGGAAACCTTACTGGTAAATATAAAATAAAAAAATGGGTTAATTTAAGATATAAGAGCTAGCTAACAATATTCTTAAACTACTGGACAAGCAGTGTTTTACATAATACAGTTTCTGTGTAATTATTTCAGGTCTGGGCAGCCAGGAACGAACAAGCAGCCTCCAACAGCCATGCAGATCCACATACATACACACAGTAAGTAATTAATATAAACAAGAATTTTAATGACAACAACTTCTCTTACAGATATTAATTTTATTTTTTTATTCTAGAATCAGGCCATACAATACTTCAATGAGTCAAAGAGAACAGGTTAGTTTTCTCGTTTGATTTTTCAGTAGTGTTGAACCTAAAGCCAGGCAAGTACACCACCTTGGCTACAGTCCCAGCCCAGAGCCTAGTTTTATAGAGGCAAAAGGTTTGAAGGAAGCAGAAACAAAATACATAAAACAAACTGGTCCTTCCGAAGTTACTTTCCTCCTGAAGTGGGCAGAGAAAACACAATAGAAAAGTAACTGGTTATTTGACACCCAGGTTATTTTAAGTTGCTTCTTTTGTTTAGGGTTAAAACAGAGCAAGCATTACTTGCTGCTTATCAGCCTGCTGGAAGTTTGGCTGCTAGCTCACATCTCAGATCAGATAACAAACTTTGTTTGACTTTTACTACAACCTCATTTTTGTAAACTTCCTGTATTATTTTGTTTTCTTGTGATAGGTTCTTCTTATGTAGCTCATGTTCACACTCTAGCCTCCTGCCTCCTGGGATTACAGGCACTATAATCTGCTTAGAGTTTTTTGTTTGTTTATTTGTTTTTTGAGACCTGACCTCAGTTTATAGTCCTGGGCGGCCTAGAACTTGCTTTGTAGACCAGGTTGGCCTCGCCCTCACAGAGATCCACCTGCCTCTGCCTCTCGAGTTCTGGGATTAAAGGCATGCACCACCACTGCCCAGCCCAATTGCTGGCTTTAAAAGTGTGTGTCTGGGAGGTTTCATTTTTGTCAACCTACTCTAAACAAAGAAAATTTTTAGTGCTTGTTGGTATAGCTCAGCGTTGGAGCATATGCCTGGCATTTTCATACACGGCCCTGAATGTGATCCCCATTACTGGAAAAAATCTGTAAGTATTTGAGATGAATTGGGAATGTAACTCAGGAAAGCACAGATTATAACAGTCTTGACAATACGCAGCCTGATATTTGGCCTGGTGCAAGAGTCAAAAGTCTAAATCATTCTAAAAGCAGGCTGAAGCTAGAGAGATGGTTCAGCTGTTAGGAGCTGAGGACCAGAGTTCGAGCCCTGGCATCCTCGCCAGACAACTCACAGCTGCCCGCTCCAGGACTCCTGCACCCCTGTTTCTGTGGGACCAGCACCTCTTCTGGTCTCTGTGGGAACTGTCTGCACATGCACAAATCCACACACAGACACACAAATATACACATGATTGAAAAATAAGACGAAGCCAGGTGTTGGTGCCACACGCCTTTAATCCCAGCTCTTGGGAGGCAGAGGCAAGTGGCTCTCAGTGAGTTCAAGGCAACCTGGTCTTGGTCTGCAAAGTGAGTTCCAGCACAGCCAGGACTGTCACACAGAGAAACAGAGAAACCCTGTCTTGAAAAACAAAAAAAAAAAAAAAAGAAAAGAAAAAAGAAAAGAAAAAGAAAGAAGAGAAGAGAAAAGAAAAGAAAAGAAAAGAAAAAAGAAAAAGACGCTTTTAATCTCAGCACTTGGGAGGCAGAGGCAGGCGAATCTCTGTGAGACCAGCCTGGTCTACAAGAGCTAGTGTTCCAGGACAGGCTTCAAAGCTACAGAGGAAGCCTGTCTCAAAAAAACCAAAAAGGAAAAGAAAAAAAAAAGAAAATATTTTAAAAGTCTTCTACTGTAATTCTTACTTCACAGGGACAATAGCCTGCTGGCAGATTAATCCAGCTACTTGGAATTTCATAGGCCTATCTTCTTTGATCCATTATGTTATACCAGAAAATTTGCTAGCTTCAAATGCAAGGCAATCTGAAGAAGAGGTTGGAATTCCCCCAACTCAGCAGTTTTTCAGCTGTGTGTGAAAAGCACGATTCTACTGGTGGAGCTTAGGCAACTTAGAAAGATGCTTGAGAACATAAATTCTTTGGGGAGAAGAGGGAGATTTTCTCACCAAACAGGCAACATCCACTCCTCACAAAGAAGAGCATTTCCTGCCCACCCAGGATGGAGCTCGGATGAGGTGTGGGCTCTGGGCCTGACAAACGCTGGTTCCTCTCCCTAAGCCAAGGTGCTAATTCAGGTGTCCCATCTGTCCTGGTTAGCCCAGCCAGTGTCAGGATATGCTTGGCATTCAGATCGCCTAAAATAAAATCTCAATTATGTAAAAGGAATCTTTAACCTGAAGTGTTTTCCATACCCAGCATACAAAGGAAGTGAAGTTGAAGTATGGTGGTGCATGCATACCACGGACGGCTTCTTGGACGGCCGAGGCAAAGGATGACTGCTTGACTTGGGAGCTTCGGGCTAGCCTAGGCAGTGTAAGAAAGCCATGGGTTGAAAACCAAAGCCTTGGCCAAACACAGGAAAAGAAAGAAGAGAAGAGACTAGAGCAGGAAGCAAGGGTCTGAATCCTATCCACTAAACCTCCAGCCAAGGCTGTTCATTTCTGTCCATTTCTTCTTGCACCCACGCCCCATGCAACGAATAACGAACGAGTCTATCTTCGTGCACTCTCCTTAATTTACTGGAGCAACCGATTTCTTCCCTTTGTTCGGTCATTTGCTTTTTAAAAATTGGAATCCAAAGCCGGGTGGTGGTGGCGCACGCCTTTAATCCCAGCACTCAGGAGGTAGAGGCAGGTGGGTCTTTGTGAGTTTGAGGCCAGCGTGGTCTATAGAGCTAGTTCCAGGACAGACTGCAAAGATACACAGAGAAACCTTATCTCGAAAATTATCTATCTATATATATTATATTATTATATATTATACATAGATATATATATCTCCAGGGGAAAAACTCACTATACAGACCAGGCTGACTTCAAACTTTATTATTCTGCCTTTGCCTCCCAAGAACTAAATTACAGGCATACATCACTATATTCAGCTAACATTTAAGTGTTCCAGGTAACCTAACACCTGCATTTACCTTCAAACAATGAGTAATCTGAGGACCAGTGTGTGAATGTTGGCCGTGCATGTATGAAGGCCTAGGTTTGATCCTCAGAACCCACCTAAAAGTGAAAAAGAGAGCCAACCCCACAAAGTTGTCCGCTGACCACTACATAGATGATGTGGCATGTGAGAGAGGAGAGCAAACAAGGCTAGTGTTGTTTGGTTCCCAGCACCCCAGTTGCAGGGAACCTTCCATCCTCTTCTGGTCTCCAAGGTGCTAGACCTACACGTGGTACACACACTCTCACACGGACAAGACACTTCTCATACACGTAAAAGATAAAGGTAAATCTAAAGAAGAAAAGAATCTGAGAACTGGCAGTCTCCGGTTAAGGTATGATTTGCCAGTTAGCCATCTGTTTTATTCTCTAGAAATACAATGCAGAGCAAGAATTTTTGTTTGTTTTAGAGCGAATTTAAGTAACTAAGTATGTGGTAGGTGAGCTAATTGGTTTGAGTATAGTAAACACTTTACAATGCACACATACATAAAAACATCACATTGTAGCTATTTTGGTTGGTTTTTGCTTTTGTATTTTGCCAATTTGACACAAGCTAGGGTCATCTAGAAAGGATCAACCTCAATTAAGGAAATGAGTTTATCAAATGGTCTTGTGGACAGGTCCTCAGAGCATTTTCTTGATTAATAATTGATATGAGGGCCCTGCCCATTGTAGGCAGTTCCACCCTTGGGTAGTCAGGCTGTGTGAAAAGGAAGCTGGGAGGCCATAGGAAGCAAGCCAGAAAACAATACCCCTCTTTGGCCTCTGCTTCGGTTCCTGCCTCCAGTTCCTGCCTTGAGTTCCTGCCCTAACTCCCCTTCATGATGGACTACAGACTGTAAGAGGAAATAAACCCTTTCCTCCACAAGCTGGTTTGGGTCAGCTTGTGGTTTTATCACAAGTAACAGAAAACAAACTAGAACACACGCCTTGACAATATATAATTCCTGTTTCTCAATTAGACCTCAGTCACGCTAAAAGACGACAGTTTCCCCGCTTTGGGGTCCATAAATAATTTTTATAGTATCACATCCTCGCCATGTTCAATGATTTAAAAATCAGATAAATATGTTCGTATATAATGACTTCTATCAAGCCTTTAGGGAAGACATAAGTAGGCAGTTCCCACACCCAGCGTCAGGGATAGACTCCAGATTCTTTCACATGAGCGTCTTGCCCAAGAATTTTGATGGGAAGCCTGATCCTCCTGTCTCCACTTCCAAGTGCTGAGTCGTAGGTTTATGCCACCAACCCCACCTGGGAAATTCAATTCTCAGCTGAGTTTGACTTTCAGTCATGATCCTAAACATAGAAGCAAATATGTACCCTCCTCTTCTCCCCTGTGAAGTGCCCTTCAAATGCAGAAGGCCTTGCAGCGTTACCTTAGCGCCAGGGAAGGTGCAACCGTGAAGTTCACCTTCTGATTGGGTAAGAATGATTTTGCAGAAGGTGAACTAATTGGGATTCTGCTGTTGTTGTTACAGGGTATCATGTAAGCCCAGGCTGGCCTCAGACTCACCATGTAGCTGAGGATGACTTTGGACTTTTACCCTGCCTCTACTTCCCCAGTGCTGATTCTCTGTAGTGCTAAGGATTGAACACATGGCCTCCTAAATTCTAGCTAGGCAAGCATTCCACCAACTGAGCTCCATGAGATTTACAATGAAATGTGTCCTGGCAATGCTGAAGCAGGCATGGGCAGCCCAAATATGGCGCTTCTGTTGAACCTGTCCATATTGGGTTTCGTGTTCTAAGTTGATGAGGACGACTGACCAGGTCTCTTCCTCAAGATGGAACCAAATTTCATTTCAGATGGTTGTGAGCCACCATGTGGTTGCTGGGAATTGAACTCAGAACCTTTGGAAGAGGTGCCTTTAACCACTGAGCTATCTCTCCAGCCCCAACTGAGCTACATCCTAGCCCCTAATTAGAATTTCTTTGACCATCAATCCTAAAGTTCCTCTTTAATGGGTGAAGTACATCAAATAAAACCCAGAGGTGTACAGGCTTGTTCCCTTTCATCAGTGTGAGACCCAGGAGGAGGCTGGGTCCATGTGCACACATCCAGTCACCAAGACCCGGCTCCACCTCACCAGTCTGAGTTACCACTCTTCTCTTCTCGCGTACTCACAAGCTGTCTCTCAAGAGTTCCATTTTGATGTCATCGGTCTTCCTGGAAAGAGTGTGTCTTCCCAATAGTGCTGGAGCAGACAGAGCTGTGTCAATGACACAGGAACTCTTTGAGCTGAGAGTGGGGGCAGGGTAGTTTCCCAAAGGAAACCAGGGTGCTGATAGCAGAAATGGGAAATGCCAAAAGCAGTCAGTGAAAACAACACACAGGAGATGGGTGTCAGGGAACCCGCAAACTTCCTTATGTGTCCCCCAGCTGGCAACTGCCATTTAATCCAGTTTGAAGGACATGTGATTTATTAAGAAATTAGAGTCTTTTCAGGAAGAGGGGAAATAGAAGGGGGCAGTTTCTTTGGGCCAGTTGGGTCCCTGCTCCCTCCTCCCTTGGCCTCAGCTGAGGAGACAGGATTTCCTGGAGTTGCAACTGTTGCTGTAGGGCTGGCTCAAGAGCACATGCTACCCACACAGATGTAGGCCTGTGGGGCATAGGCCAGTAGAATAAGAGAAGGCACCAAACTGTAGCTAGAGCTTCACACTGACACAGTACATGTTAGCGTCTCGGCTGCTGCTGGTGGAGTCAGATGTGAACTCCACAGATTCGGTGCCTGCAGTCCTGAGTAACAGTGCTGGAGCTGTGAAGAGTGGCTTAGTGGATCCGGTAACGCTACGGAAGTGTGAGGACCTGAAGCTGGATGCTGGAGTCTGCAATCACAGTAATCCTACGGGAGAGATGGGAGGCAGAGACAGAGGAATCCTTGTACAGCGAGCCAGCCCCTATGCAGTCAGTCAGCCCCCATGCAGTCAGCCCCTATGCAGTCAGCCCCTATGCAGCCAGTCAGCCCCCACGCAGCCAGCCCTTATACAGCCAGTCAGCCCCCATGCAGCCAGCCCCTATGCAGCCAGTCAGCCCCTATGCAGCAGAGAACAAAGAAGAAAGAATAGGAAAGGCCTTTTGAACAAGGTGGAAAGCAGTGACTGACACCTAATGTTGTTTTCTGAATTCTACACACAAGCCATAGCACACGTGCTCATGCTCACATATACAAACACATCACACAATCACACAAATTCGTTTGCACACACAAGAATGACCAGTGCTAGGAGGGGTCAGGATTCATATAACTTAGAGATATCAAAAAGGAAAGACATTTAATCCCAGCACTCGGGAGGCAGAGGCAGGCAGATCTCTGTGAGTTCAAGGCCAGCCTGGTCTACAAGAGCTAGTTCCAGGACAGGCACCAAAAGCTACAGAGAAACCCTGTCTCGAAAAATCAAAAAAAAAAAAAAAGGAAAGACATGTCCCCCATGTATTAAGATTAAAGAGACCTGAGCTCTGAGCCTTGAGCCTGAGGACCTGATGTGCTTGACTCCAGCATGAAGAATTCGGCCCAATTAGAGTAAGTATCCACGGGTACAGTCCACAGGGAAGCTTCCTGAAGAAACCAGGACTCTGGTAGGTGTCTTCCATCCCCTGCCCTCCCATCTTGCTGTGTCCCAGGAAGCTGACTGACTTCTATAGATTCCTGCTTCTACTTGGAGATGGCTGGCGGAAATATTATCCCATCAGGCCTGTTTTACAGGATGACAATAACTGAAGAATGGGTTTTGCACAACAGAAAGAGCGAGCCAGAAGCCAGGCTTAGTGGCGCGTTCCTGTAATCCCAGTGATGGAGAGGTGGAGGCAAAGGCCAGCCTAGGCTACAGAAGAACCTATTCAAATTAATTAAGTAAAAAGCTCAAAAAAGACAGAAGGAAAGGAGGGAGGAAGGGTGGGAAGGAAGGATTTAGAGAGAAGAGAGACCTATGGTTACAGCACTCTACATGTTGAGGCTAGAAGAATGTGGGTTCCAGGGAGCCAGGGCTACATAGTGAGACTCCATCGCAGATAAAACAACAGGGGCTTGAGAATGAGCTCAGCAATTGAGAGGCATATTGTTCTTCTGAAGGACCAGAGTTCAGTTCCCGGCATCCATGCCAAGAGCTCACAGTTACCTGTAACTTCAGCCCCAGAGTGTTCTGATATCTTTGGCCAAGGAGGCACCTATGCTCATATGCATGTATGCACACAGACACACACACATAATTAAAATAATAAAAATACATATTTCAAACAACAAGTGGAAGTGGCTAAATGTAAGGAAACAGATTCTTCAGACTCTTTAAAACCTGCCTTTCCCAGGCTAGGGTCTAGAGGAAGCTGGGTGGTCTGAGGTATGAGAAGGACAGCTGGGGCAGGACAAAGTAACCAGTGGCCCGCACACATGTACTCAAACCTCAGGGCTCTTCAGGAAATGACCGTGTCGGCATGATCGGGAGGCAGGGTTTGGGGCCCTCTGAAGTCAAAAAAGGTCATCCATCCCATACTTACGGAGGCTCAGATGAAGGATGGTGAATTCCACCAGTTCGAGGTGTCTTTGAATTTTTGAAAAACAACTTGGACAAACATTAGCACCACAAGCCTTGTGTAAGAAGTCTTATCTAGAACGAGGTTGCTGGGAAGGTGCTGCCAATTGAGGTGACCTCCAAGGTAGGTGACAAAAACAAGGAAGGGAGAGCAAGAAGCTAGAAGGCTCCAGAAAGGACCAGCTGGTGATCAAAGAAAGGGAAGAGGGTGAGGCCAGGGTACTTACCCCCAACGCCCTCCTTGGGCTTGCTCTGTTCCTCCAGTAAAGGTCACCAGTCCTCAGAACACTTCTCAGAGATCTTTTTCATTCCAGATTCTGATAACTGGCTCACTCCTTCGCTGTTCAGCCCTAGTGGTGGTGGTGACAGGTTTGCCACCATGAGCTCCAGGTTCTATACTTAAAGGGTCCTTATGCTTATCTTGTTGAGGCACTGGATGATTCTGTCCCCCAAATCCTCTCTATTGGCTAGAAAGTAACTTAGAAAGTGTGCTGTTTTGAAAGAAAATTCCCCCCAAAGGAAGTGGCACTATCAGGAGATGTGGCTTTGTTGGAGGAGGTGTGTCACTATGGAGGTGGCCTTTGAGGTCTCAAATACTCAAGCCACTCCCAGTGACTCAGTTCACTTCCTGTTGCCTTTGGCTCCAGATGTAGAATTCTCTAGCACCATGTCTGCCTGCACACTGCAGTGTTCCCCGCCGTGATAATAGACTAAACCTCTGAAACTGTAAGCCACCACCTCAAGTAAATGTTTTCCTTTATAAGAATTCCCACGGTCATGGCGTCTCTTCACAGCAATATAGAAACCCTAACTAAGACGGTAAAGATAAACCAAAGAATGAAAGTGTACAAAAGCCAGAGTAACCAACAACAGTCAACTCAAAACACTGGGTCTACTCTTCCCCTGGGGAGATTTCAACCATCAAGAAGATTGACACAGGCTGGAGGGATGGCTCAGTGGCTAAGGGCACTGGCTGCTCTTCCAGAGGACCTGGGTTCAATTCCCAGCACCCACATGGCAGCTCACAATTGTCTGTAACTCCAGTTCCAGGAGATCTAACCCTCACACAGACATGTAGACAAAATACCAATGTACATTTAAAATAAAAACAAAAACAAAGAAAAGCTGGGCAGTGGTGGCACATGCCTTTAATCCCAGCACTTGGGAAGCAGAGGCAGGTGGATCTCTGTGAGTTTGAGGCGAGCATGGTCTAAGTTCCAGGACAGGCAGAGCTAGACAGTGTCTTGAAAAACAAAACAAAACAAAACAAAACAAAACAAAACAAAACAAAAAGAAGATTGATACTTGCTAGCACATCCCAAACATGCTGGTCAGATGAACGAGGGCCAGCAAGACGGCTCAACAGGTAAAAGCACCTGTCACACAAAGCTGCTGACCTGAGCTTGATCCTTGGGCTCCACAGTGAAAGAACACTAATATCACGAACCTACATACATATCACAACCTCTCACATACAGTGATGATAACACTGGTTTTCACTGAATGACAAACTAAAGACACGACATGGATTTAACCTGCTGGCCAGGAAGGCCACCGTGCAGCTTCTCCTGCGAGGTGACTCCAGCCATGCACTGTTCTTTTCTTCACAGGTGAGGAGGGTTTTACTGCTGAGGCAGGCAGGGACTAATTGTGTGGGAAACAAAGGTGCGGGCTGAGGGCTGCTTCTGAGAGCAGAGGAAGTAAGGGAAGGATCCACGAAAACCCCACCAGCTCAGTGGCCGTTCAATGACAATTCATCTACATTTTACCAAGGAAAATTCCACATGGTCCAGCATTCCCTTTTCCAAGGTGGAGAAAGAAACATTCAAGAGACCTCCTTCAGACAGAAACTAGAAGGGGGAGCTGTCTACATAAGGGGAGAGGGCTTCTTCCAGGGGTCGCTTAGAGACACAACCCTGCAGCTGCCTGCTCTACTGCTCTGGAATGGAGGGTCAGGAAGAAGCAGGTCTGTGTCCAAAGGGTCCCCAAAGGTCAGAGTTCCAAAAGAAGATGGTCTCTAGAGGTGACTACGTGAACAAACATGTAACCTGGCAGGACCAGGGTATGATGGGCCCTGAGGAAATCAGGAACACCCCTACCGCTTTCCACACTCCCCCACGGCTTCATATAAAAGCTTTTGCGGCTACAAGAAGGACAGGAAGCAGAGAGCCAGCTCATGGCCACTGGTCAAATCATGTGACCTGGAGTAACCCTGCCAAAGTGGCAGAGGTCAAGATAGAAGTGAAGAACCCTAAAGAATCACACATGTCACCTCTATACCAGGGCAGACGGTCGCAGAGGAGGCCAGGGGCCCCAGAGGGAAGTTATCTGTGGATGATTCTGCAACTCCCCTCCTCCCTTGAATTAGTAATAAACAACAATGGTTGGGCATCATCTGCCTCACAGTTCTCCTGTCTCCCAGGTGTGTACTCCGGACATGTAAAGCCACCAGGCGAGGGGAGCTGTGAACTGGACTGAGGATGAGGAAGTTACATAAATTTTACCTTTAAAAAAAATGGGGTAAGAGAGAGAACTGAGCGATGTTGGAAAAGCAATACACGCGCACACGCACACACGTTCTTAGTTCAGTGGGCTACCAGTCCAGCATCTGTGACGGAACGGTGTGTCTCCCAACGCTCCTGACAGAACAGGACCCTGGGAATCACAAGGCCACCGTATAGCACACTGGCCAAGGAAGGCCCAGGATCTGTCTTCACTGTTCACAGTGTGAGTGCCCCAAGCTCCTGTTATTGTGAGATGAGAGTGGAACTTACAATTTCAGAAATTAATAATTCCCACAATAACAGCCATGACCTGGGGACTCTCAAGATGGCTAAGCAGGTGAAGGTGCTTGTTGCGCAACCTCAGTTCAATCCTCGGAACCTGTGTAAAAGGCTGGAGGAGAGCCAGGTAGTAGTGGTACACGCCTTTAATCCCAGCACTCAGCAGGTAGGGGCACGTGGATCTCTGTGAGTTCAAAGCCAGCTTGGTCTATGGGGCTACAAAGAGAAACCCTGCCTCAAAAAAAAACAAAAAAAAGTGGGAGGAGAAAATTGACTGATTCCATAAAGTTGTTCTCTGATTCACACACACACACACACACACACACACACACACCATGGGATGAGCATGAGCACCAAACTTGTACCATACATCAAACACACACAAACATACTAATGAAAAATAAAAAGTAAAGTCACTGGGCAAGGTGATGTAATGTCCTTTATCCCAGCACTTTGGAGGCAGAGGCAGGCAGATCTCTGAGCTTGGTCTACATAGCAAGTCCCATTCCAACACGGACTGTATGGTAAGACCCTGTCTCTATCTCTATATCTATCTATCTATCTATCTATCTATCTATCTATCTATCTATCTATCAAAAATGGTGGTCCAGGTAGCAGGCAGAGTCAAATACAGTGCTGTAAGAAAGAGGACCCAGCTGGGCAGTGGTGGTGGTGCACACCTCTAATCCCAACACTCGGGAGGTGGATCTCTGTGATCTTGAGGCCAGCCTGGTCTACAGAACGAGTTCTAGGAAATACACAGAGAAACCCTGTCTTGAAAAACCAAACAGAAGAAGAAGAAGAAGAAGAAGAAGAAGAAGAAGAAGAAGAAGAAGAAGAAGAAGAAGAAGAAGAAGAAGAAGAAGAAGAAGAGAAAGAAAGAAGAAAGAAAGAAAGAAAGAAAGAAAGAAAGAAAGAAAGAAAGAAAGAAAGAAAAGACAATTTGGAGAATGGGGTGTTCGGTAGTTGAGTGGGTCATGCTTGCCCAGGAAGCACAAACCTCTGTCCCTAATACTGCAGAAACTCAGTACTAAAATCTCAGCACTGGGAGGTAGAGACAGGAGGCAGCCCAAGTCCTGCATAGTGAGTTCAAGGTCATTCTGGGCTATAAGAGACTAACACTTTCTTGAAAAAAAAAAATAGCATTTGGATTGGGATGTGTTAGGTCATACCTGTGATCTCAGTACTCGGGGGGGGGGGGGGAATGAAAAGGGGAGAGTGGCAAGTTTGAGTCTAGCCTGGTCTGCACAGTCATTCCAGACTACACTGGGCCACAGATCTTGATTCTATCTCAGAAAAAGAAAACAACAGAAAATACCAAAGAAGTCAGTTTCTTCTGTCACAGAGTAGGTTGGGGGAGGGGTTGATGACTGTGTGACATAAACCTGGCTTGGACCCTGGGACAGAAAGAAGATGTTACTGTAAGTGCAGAGTTTAGATAAGAGGAGTTAGGAATCAGTGTACGTGTCTTAGTGGGGACAAATGCACAACAGTAATTAAAGAGTTTAATAACATGCACATGAAATAAAATAAAGAAAGGATGAAAGAGAGGTTCCTTTGTCGGGTGGTGGTGGCTCACGCCTTGGGAAGCAGAGGTAGGTGGATCTCTGTGAGTTCAAGGCCAGGCTGGTCTACAAAGTGAGTTCCAGGACAGCCAGAACCAAACAGGAAAACCCTGTCTCAAAAGAGAGAGAGAGAGAGAGAGAGAGAGAGAGAGAGAGAGAGAGAGAGAGAGAGAGAGATCCCATCTTTTCCACTTTTTTGCTTCAAAACAGCCAGCATCTCCCCAGTGCTTGTAATGAGACTCACTTTGTGGAGAAGCAAGCGTCTGGGTTTGCAAAGGTAAAGAAATTCATTTGTCCCCAGGTGTTTTGGTGACACTGGTTTGGTACAAGGGCAGTGAACAGAGTCAAGTCTTGACTCTCAACTCCTCCAGTGTCCTGTGTGGATGTGGCAGCGTGTGATGCGCTTCACTGGGACTCCAGTGTGTGGCAGACAGTGGAGAACGGCGACATCGTGGCTCATGGGCCAGGGCAGCACAGCCTTTCCCTACCGTCTGTGGTGGTGCCCAGATGAGGGGACCACACTAGGCTCTGGGCTCTCCTTAGCTCTTTCCTCTCTGTCCCCATTTTGTCGGTGCAGAGGCTAGTGTTCATTGTCCCTTAGAACAGCTTCCCTGGGCATAAGATGAAACAATGCCAGTAACTCTAGGGCTAGGTAGGCTGGTGAGCATGTGGCCAGACGTGGTGGTACCTGCCTATAATCACAGCTATAATCCTACTTTTAGGATCACCCACTGTGAGTTCGAGGACAGACTGAGTTACAGATTGAGACCATGCCTCAAGAGGCCAGGGCAGTGCAGGGACCTTGTTGAGGGAAGGTCACTCTGGTGTCCCTTGGCTAGTGGTCTTCAGAGCCAAGGCAAGGCAAAGAGACGAGGAAAGTACCTCAGGAGGGAGAGCCCGGGAGAGGCCTAGAAACCTAGAAACCCAGTCATCCATGGGCATTGCCCCTATGCTTGGGCCTAGGAATCATGTAGGGATGATTTGGGCAGAAACAAAAGAGCCAGGGACTGTCAAAGTTTTCTCCACAGATCTGTTCCCTGATCCCCACAGGATCTGCTTTGGGCTAACACTAGCATTCCTCCCTGGAGCCAAGAACTGCCCACTGTAAGGCCTTTCTGTTTCTGTTGGAAGGAGGTCCTACTATAGCCCTACAGTGCTGGGAAGGCTCAAAATAGGGCAGACATGGAGGGAACTTTTTCTTTCTTTCTTTCTTTCTTTCTTTCTTTCTTTCTTTCTTTCTTTCCTTTTTTTTTTTTTTTTTTCAAAACAGGGTTTCTCTGTAGCTTTGGAGCCTGTCCTGGACCTCACTCTGTAGACCACCAAACTGGCCTTGAACTCACAGAGGCCTTCCTCTGCCTCCCGAGTGCTGGGATTAAAGACGTACACCACCACTGCCCTACTGAGACAGAGGAAACTTTTAAGTGTCTGTTTTGTGCAGAGTCCTAAAATGGGCCCTGGGCCTCGGGATGACTTGACATCTCCCCCATGGACACTTGTGTGCTGATGAGCAGATTGCTGTGGCAATGGGCTCAGTTTGAGGTGACCAGAGGAGCCACCTGGACAAACCTCCACAGTCGTTTTCCTTAGTCCCTGGAGGAGCGGGCAGCCAATATGGTCAGGAGAGCTTTAGTCTGTGTTTGGCTGAATCTTCAGGAGACTGAACTCTTGATGGGGTTGACCCTGACAGAGGGTTTCCCACGTAGGCAGTCCTCTCCCTGCGCACAGTCTTATGGGGATGCTCAAGGACTGTCACTGCCCCCAGGTGACCTCTGATGTGACATTGTGAACCTGCCCTTTGCCAACTGGGAAGACCACACCAAGCCAGCAGGGGCTTCATCTCCCCTTATGTGCTAGAGCTCAGGGTGCCGTGGCCCTCTGGCTGCTTCTCCGAGGACAAGCAACATGATAAATTTCTGTGCGCTGTGTGTTTCCACAGAAAGGGGGTGTCTCGGAGGCAGGAGGATGAGATCATATGCCCCACAGTGTTCGCCATCGCTCAGGGGACTCCTCTGTCGTATGTCTTTTTAGGGGCAGGGTGAAACAGGATCTCACTGTACAGTTCTGATTGTCTTGGAACTCAGTGTATGACCCACGCTGGCTCTCCCTCCCAAGTGCTGGGATTGTAGACTTGTCCCCAAGCACCCAATATATTAATGTGAGGTGAGTGAGAAGGAGTCAAGATGGGCTAGTGGAGGAGACCCTAGGATTTCTAAGAAAGGGTGCTAGGATACTTGATTCTGGAATACTAGATACTTACTGCCAAGAAGGAAGTGTCTGGGAGCAGTCTTCCTGGCTCTTTGGTTTTGGATTAGGCAAGAAAGGAGAAGCTGAGAGGCTGAAGTTCAGAGTTCTGGCAAGGAGTGTGTGAGAGCTGGGATGGTTGCTACGAGCAAGCAGACTGGGGGTGCAGACTCAGGAGCCCTACTTAGGCATACGCAACATTGTGGGAGCCTCAGATCATTGAGCCAAAGGGGCTTCAGTGCCTCCTGTAACTTCATGGACAGGAAGATGGGTCCAGAAGGGAGAGGTTCAGCCTCAAGCTAGAGTCTGTTAATCCCACCGATCAAGAATAAGACCACTACCACAGCTTAAAGCAAAATCTGAAGCAAGCTTTAATTCAGTACTGGCAGGCAGATGGGCTCCAGGTTCCTGGGAAATGGCCCGCAATCACCGTGTGTAGTGGTTTAAGAACGAAAGAACGTCATCCATTGCATCTCCCATCAGGTCCAGTCGGGGGCAAGCATATGTCCTGACTACCTCCAGCCTGTGGACCTCCTGCCCATGGTGATCAAGCCCATCAGTGCAGACGGCTCAAACAGACTTGCTTAGAACGTGTGGCTTGTTATGTCCCATAAACACAGCCTCCAGCGTCTCAGGAACTGTCTGTCCTTGGGCAAGGGGCTTGTAGATCAGAGGCATTTTTGTTTCATGAATCTCTAAAGCACAGTAATTAAGACTTAACATGAAATTTTGGCTCTCATTGGTTCTGTCTCTCAAGACAGATCATTAGTGTTATAATTTTAAGAAAATGCCAAGAGAAGGGGGGGAAGTGGTTGGGGAGATGGGGAGGGAGAGAGTCACACCATACAACAGGGTTCACATGGGAGGTTTATTGGAAGAGGAAGGAGAAGGGGCAGAGAAGGGGGCAGAGACTGGTCCCTGGAACAAGAGAGGGGGAGGAGGGGAAGACACAGACAGACAGACAGACAGACACAGACACAGACACACCCACAGACACACAGACAGGCAGACAGACACACACAGTGGGCAAGGCCCCCCTTTATAAGGGAACGGGGCACTCTTAGTGGCTGCAGCTGAGGACGTAGCCTGTCAGGACCCTAAGGGCAGGCCAGTACAGATGCCCGAATACTAACATTTAGACCATTGCCCCGCCATGCTCAGGAGACAAACCCAGCCAGGGAATGTCCCCACATACCTTTTTAAGCTTGCTTTTCATCGCTGTGATAAACCAAGTTGAGGAGGAAAGGCTTATTTCAGTTTATAGTCTCTAGTCTGTCGTGAAGGCAAACGAGGGCAGGAACTCAACGCAAGGAACCCAGAGGCAGGAGCTGAAGCGAAGGCTGTGGAGAAAGTGGTTTACTGCTTGCTCCCCACAGCTTGTTCTGCCTGCTTTCTTTTCGTAGTTGTTGTGGGGTTTTTGTTTTGTTTTGAGACAAGGTCTGTCTATGTAACTCTGGCTGTCCCGGAACTCACAGATATCCGTGTACCTCTGCCTCCGGAGTATTGGGACTAAAGGCGTGTGCCACCAAGCCAGGTGCCCACCTACTCAGGGGTGGCACTGTCTGCAGTGGACTAAGTCCGCCCACATCAATCATCAATCTAGAAAATTCCCTACAGAGCTGCCCAGAGGTTCCTCGTCTCTAGCTGTGTTGTGTTGACAAACTTAACGGGACCATCTGGTACCTCTGCTTCACCTGTCAAACAACAAAGCGAACAAAGGGTGAGGACTGCCAGAGGTCTCAGTCAAGAGTCACAGATCCTGGCCTCAGCGCAGGGCTGCTGCCATGTCTGCCGGGGAGAGGACAGAGCATCCTATTTGCTGAGTCCCTGTTACACAACAGGTCTTTGACACATTCTTTCCTATCTGAACGACAGCCGTAAGAGCTAATGTGCTTGCCCACATTAGCAAATCAGAGGAGAGGTGTTCAGAGAGGCAAAGCACCTTGTTCTTGGCCTCACAGCAAATGTCTGTCTATTTCTCCAACCTGTGCCCTTGTCTTTTTTCAAGCTGTGTAGTGTTTGGGCCCCAGAGTTGGTGAAGATGAGTGGGGAGAGGAAGCCGGGGCAAACTCCAGCACGGGCTCCAGCTGTCAACTTACGCCACAACAAAGATCAACAGTAGTGACCTTGGACCAGCAGGCTGCGCCTTCCACTGACAGCAGCCCCCCACACACACACAATGTACATTGATCCTCACCTGGCAATAAAGCTGGAAGAACAAACAGCTGGTAGCCTGGTGCCTGGCTCGCTGACACCCGGTAGTTTCAGGTTAGGCACCCTGGGCTAACACTTCAACTTTGAAGACCAATTTAAGAGATTAGATCTGGGGCAGGTCTGGCTCAGAAGGTGAAGGCGTGTCACCTAACAACAGGACCCACGTGATGGAAGGAGAGAACCGAGTCCTGAAAGCCGTCCTTTGGCTTCTGTGTGAGCACAGTGGCAAACGTGCATCCCTCCCACACAAATAAACTCAGTGAGTGAGAGAGAGAGAGAGAGAGAGAGAGAGAGAGAGAGAGAGATATTAGATTCTCCCTGTCCTAACATGGAGGGGTCTCTTGAATTTCTGGTTTATCCAAGTAGAGGTAGGAGTCATATCCATATACAGCTGGACTCATCTGCTCCTGCTAACATACTCTACCCTCGCTGCTCAGCTCCAGAAGTCCTCTGTGTGGTGGCCATTCTTACTCAAATGGAGACATCTCCATAGTTTCCACTGGGGCTCAAAGTTGCCACCTCCATAGCCCTAGAGTAGCCTTATTTATTCTGGGAGGGTCTGCTCACCTGGGTTGAGCCTGCAGTCCTGATGTTTGTAAGAAATGTGTCAAAGTGCCGAAGAAGTTGCTACACTGTAGGCCTTCTGCTTCTGCTCAGCAGCCTGACACAAGCCTGCATCTGTGTCTCATATGCTACTTCCGCTAAGATATCACCCCCACTTTTTTAACTTGATCTGAGTGTAACATCTTATATTTCTCTTTTAATTTCTTTCCTCTAAACAGTAGCAACGTGCAGGGTGAGAATGGTGGTGCCCTGCAGTTCCAGCACTTGGAAGTCAGAGCATACGCATGCGAATGACCATGAGTCTCAGCCAGTCTGGGCTCTGCAGTGAGCTCAAGGCTCAACAAACAGTAGCACTTCACAGGGCTATGGTCAGTTTGTCCACAATACCTTCAACTATCCACTCTTTTTATGCTCAAGGAAGTTTTGGTTGGTTGGTTGGTTTTAAAACAGGGTTTCTCATAGCCCTGGCTGTCCTTGAACTTCTGCCTAAGGAAGTTTTGCTTGTTTATGTTTTGGTTTTGAGACCATCATACCCAGTTTTAAATGATGCTAGTTAAAGAGTTTTGTGTGTGTTAGACAAGACCTCTATCAACTGAGCCACAATCCCAGAACGTCTTCATGTTTAAAACAATTTTCTAGCCAGGCAGTGGTGGTGCACACCTTTAATCCCAGCACTCAGGAGGCAGAGGCAGGTGGATCTCTGTGAGTTCGAGGCCAGCCTGGTCTACAGAGTGAGTTCCAGGACAGGCTCTGAAGCTACAGAGAAACCCTGTCTTGAAGAACCAAAAGGAAGGGAGGGAGGGAGGGAAGAGAGAGAGAGAGAGAGAGAGAGAGAGAGAGAGAGAGAGAGAGGAAAAGGAGGAGGAGGAGAAAAAAGACAATTTTCTGGATCTTACTACGCAGATGACCATAAGCCTACAAGAGCAGGACTCTTGTCCTGGAGCATGACTAATTCCAGGTTCAGGGAAGTAAACATTGGGTGCAGTCTCTGCGGTGCTCTGGGGGGCTTCCTGCCAGCTGTTTTTGAGGAGGTTCAGAGCCTGAGCCCCAGCTGTGACAGAGTGGGCAGAATGTAAGCTGTCTTGCCTGGTTTGGATGGGTGTTTTCCTGAGGCAGACGATGTGCCAGACATTTAAAACACCTTCCCACCATGTGTCTCTTAAAGGAGAATTACCAACTCTCTTGGCAGAGAGGAAAACTGAGGCTAGATCAGGTCGAGAAGCCAGGTCTCTCAGATGGCCTCCAGGGACCTTTAGCCAAGTTGTCGCAGGTTTGGAACTATGGTTTGTCCTGAGCTCCCTTAGGCTGTTTGAAGAGGAAACCTCCCAGGACTGGACACCTGTCTGGTTGTGAAGATCAGCCTTCAGAACTTAGGTGAAGCAGTTTAGCTAGGAAGATTCCAGGAAGGCTGACAGAGGAGAGTAACGCTCTGGCTCCTGTCTGAGCCCGGGATGTGTTGCTTAGGAGCTAGGTCTGGCTGCAGATCAGAAAACAGAAGCTGGGCCTGAGGGCGAGTCCAAGCTAAACCATCACACAAGGGTCCATTGTGGTCTCTCCACCCGGCCCTGGGCTCTGCCAGCCCTTCCGGCTCCCGGAAAATGTTTTCCTTCTGGCAACTCCCAGGGCAACCTGCCCGTGGCCAAGATGCTGACTGACCACACCTCTGCCTCTCCCTCCCAGCGGGAACTCTGGACTGGCACCCCAGAATGCCGAGGCCAGTCTGCTTGTGGCACACGGGGTCCCTAAAGCTTAGGTAATGAGCACACCAGACCAGGACCAGGACCAGAATCAGAACTTTCTGCTTTGCAGCCATGTTTTTCAAGTCACCAGCATCAGGAGTCAGAAAGGCTTGAACCAGAGAGAGGCGGAGCCATCTCCTCTTAGGGATTTAGGTGGTAATCTTAAAGGAGTAATGATACTCGTACCTTTTTCTGAGAGAGTTAGGTCCCCGGGAACAGTCGAGAAAGCCTGTGGGTTCCCTGCTTCCCCTGGCACCCAGCCTTGACACCCTGTAAAAATCAGGCACCTGGTGCTGGTAGGATGGCTCAGGGGGTAATGGTGTTTGCGGCAAAGGGGGACAACCTGAGTAAGTTCAGTCTTCAGAATCCAAAGGGTGCAAGGAGACCAACTCCTGAAAACTATCTTGTAGACAGACAGACAGACAGACACACACACACACACACACACACACACACACACACACACCACGAAAGAGAGATAATAAACCAGGCATGAATGCACTGGGAGATGTTGTGAGGAAAAGCAGGATTAGAATTTGAGGTGTCTCTGGGCAGTGGTGGCGCACACCTTTAATCCCAGCACTCAGGAGGCAGAGGCAAGCAGATCTATGTGAGCTGAGGCCAGCCTGGTCTACAAGAGCTAATTCCGGGACAGGTCCCAAAGCTACAGAAAAACCCTGTCTCCACAATACAAACAAACAAACAAAACCCACAAAGAAACAAAAATGAAAAAAGAAAAAAAAATTGAGGCCTCATCTGGGTTCTGGGCTTTTCCCCAGAAGGACAGCGCCACCTGGGGCCCAATCTGTGGAACTTGCATCCCGCTGGATTCCACTACATTTTGAACACTCCAGGGATGGATCCCTGGATTGAGCTGGGGAGAACGCAGGTAGGCCGCAAGTGCAACAGTAGGGGACCTCTCGGGATGAGAAGGCCTTAAGGAATCAGGGTTGATTTGACGTCATAGGTTTTGAGTTGGGTCTTTGAGAGTGTCCATAAATTGCTCTACAAGAACTGGCTGCAAACTGCACAGAGAGCCTGAAGTGTTGGCACATGCAGGTAGCCACAACATTTGGTAAGTGGAGGAAGGAGGATAAGGAGGTCAAGTTTATCCTTGGCTGCATAGCAGGTTCGAGGTCAGCCTAAGCTACGTGAGACCGTATGGAGGACTCAGTGGGGTGGGAGCACTGTACAAGCCTGAAGACCTAAGTTCGGGTCCCATCACTATGTTAAAAAGATAAAAGTAGGTGTCTGCTGCTGTGATGAAATACCGTGACTAACAGCAACTTGGAAAGGAAAGGGTTATATTTCCTTACAGCTCAGAGTCCATTAACGAAAGGAAGTTGGGGCAGGAACCTAAAGGCAGCGCTAAAGCAGAGAACACAAAAAAAGTTGAGTCCTGGCTTGCTCCCAAGGGGCTCTGCCTCCTTTCTTATACCACCAATGTCCATCTGCCCAGGGGTGGCCCTGCCAGTGGGCTGGGCCTTCCCACATCAGCCATCAATTGTCTGAAGACAATAGGATGGAGGCGTTTTCTCAGATGAGAACCCAGGTAACTCCAAATTGTGTCAAGTTGGCAAAAACAAAAACAAAATCACAACTTGGCCAGCCTGTGACTCCAGTGTTTGGGAGGCAGAGGCAGGAGAATCCCTGGGGCTTGCCGACTGAGTGACATTCTCCTGCGTTCTCCTCTGGCCTCCATGTAGGAGCAGTATACACACCCGTGCCCACCACACATGCCAGTATCCATGTTAACCACCACGCTCACACAGATGCTCAAACATACATTTTCTAAGCATGGAGAGGACATTGTGAGTGTAAACACGACTGCTTTGATTTTTACTTTTGTAGCTGTGGTGTTAGGAATCAAAAAAGAAAGAAAGGAAGGAAGAAGGACAGAAAAGAGTGAGAACGAGAAAGAACAATAATCAAATTACTCTGTCCAGAGCTCCGCCCCACACTTTTTTTTGTTTTGTTTTGTTTTATGAGACAGGGTTTCTCTGTGATTTTGGAGCCTGTCCTGGAACTAGCTCTTGTAGACCAGAACTCACAGAGATCCGCCTGCCTCTGCCTCCCCAGTGCTGGGATTAAAGGCGTGCGCCACCCTAC